GTGAGAACGTCGAGTACAGAGAAAGAGCGGGTTCTGACTGAAGAAGTGACGCTACCCAGAGAGTGAGAGACCCGTTTTCGTTACACTGGTGGCTAGCGGTGGGATTAAAACAGACACGAGACACGGTACTCGATCAGCATACGGCAGAGCTGATTATCAAAAATAAGGTTAACCGAGCATTAGCTCGACACGGCAACTCCTCACCGGCTTCAACACGGCAGTCTATACCACCTCACTGCTTCAACACGGTGGTCTATAGCACCTCCCTGCTTCAACACAGTGGTCTATAGCACCTCACCGCTTCAACACAGCGCTCTATAGCACCTCACCGCTACAACACGGCGGTCTATAGCACCTCACTGCTTCAACACGGTGGTCTATAGCGCCTCACCGCTTCAACACAGCGTTCTATAGCGCCTCATCGCTTCAACACATCACTCTGTGGCGCCTCGACACAACAACGACGCAGAAAGCATCAGTGTTTGGAAGAAACATTGTGGTATGGCTTCTCAGAGACTGACTATAGAGGACGAGGTAGAAGTCCTTGCAGCAGAAGTGCAGCGAGGCGACGAAGATCTACGTCGGTCCAAGACAGAGATTCAGTCATTATTAGAACAGAATCAGCTTCTCAGACTGCAGGTAAGAAGGCTGCATATCGATCAGTCTCCTGTAAGTTTCCCTAACCAGTCCCAGAGTGGAACACCACCCACTGCTGGTAGACGGGAACATGAGTCAACGGAGACTCATGCGACCACAATGAATGATAACTTGCTGGTCAATTCCAAGGGACCTGAATCACCAATGCATGGATGCCTAGAGGATCAAACGCAAGTTCAACCGGGCATGGTGGCTCAGTCGTTAGAGCGCCCGCCTCATGAACGGGAGGTCGTGGGTTCGAACCCCGGCCGAGTCATACCAAAGACTTATAACAATGGGACCTTCTGCCTTCTAGCTAGGCGCTCAGCATATTAGACTGGAGAAGGGTAGTAATAACATATTATGTTATGCAGGGCCCGCTGGAAGAACAGTTTCATAACTGAAGTGGCTACCCTGGGTAAATAAAAGTTATTATTATTATATTATTATTATAAGTGAAGGTGGCACACGAGCAGACTGCAGCTGCTGAGGCGAAGGAACTTCATGCTGCACAGTGGTCTCCAAGTAAAACATCAACAGCCGTTCGTCGGGCAGATGGGCTACGAACAGGCTTCTTACATAGGCAAGATTTGGATGCTTCAGATGTTCTTGCAGCAATTCCTCACTACCAGCGACACAGGAGCGAAGTTCCAGGGGTACGGTCACCTGTTACACTGTCTAAGCCAAATGTATCGCCCGACAAATTCGATGGGAGGACACCTTGGAGGGATTACCTCAGCCATTTTGAAGCCTGCAAGGTCGCCAATAACTGGGTGATGACCAGGCAAAGGTTTTCCTAGCAGCAAGTCTGAGGGGATCAGCACTGAAGATCTTGGGCAGCAAGGCAGCTGACACTTCTCGGATCGCATACCAAGACCTGGTAGTTCTTCTAGAGAAGAGATTTGGCCCAGGCCAGTTGGTAGAGAACTTCCTCCTTGAACTGCGTTACAGACGCCAAGGGCCCAGAGAGACCCTCCAGGAACTGGGTCAGGCCATACGGGAGTTATCCATGTTGGCATACCCGGAACTTACTGAAGAAGCCCAGGATCGGTTGGCAAGGACACACTTTGCAGAGGCGATTGAGGACCAATCCATCAGGGAAGGGGTCTTTCGATCTAAGCCAACAACTATGGATGAAGCCATCCAGGCGGCCTTGGCAACTGATAATTTTTTCAGACTCGAGGAACAACGGTCTGGCAGGAGGCAGTAGCAGGCAAGGGCCGTTGACACTGATTCAGCAGCTACGATCAATGAAATCTGGAGAGAGCTGAAGAGAATAGATGAGAGAATCGCCAAACAGGAACGACCCATCAAGTCAGAAGAATTCAGACGGGAGAGACCCAACTCGTACAGGCGGAGAACACCAACAGCCAAAGATGAATGCTACGAGTGTCATGAGAAGGGGCATTTTAGGCGTAACTGCCCTCACGCAAGAGAATACAGGAGGCCTTCGGGAAACGAGGCTCAGCCAACCCAGAGGCCCGAGGGGAGGCTGGACGGACACCAGGGCATGTAACTGACACACCTCCATCTCCTCGAGAATATCCTTCAAGGAATTACATATCTGATAAAGCACGACGTGGTCTTTTTGTTGAAGTGGAGATAAGGGGAATCAAAGCAAGATTGTTGGTAGATTCAGGTGCCACCGATACCATTTTATCTTCATCCGTGTACTATCGGATACATTCAACTAATAGGCCAGACTTGACAGAAGTGGGAGTTCGCAATGCAGATGGCAGTAGCATGGAAACGCTAGGTAGTGCATGGTTGGAGCTTGGTGTAGGAACATGCATCTTTCCACTAGAAGTAGTCTTGGGCAATACCGACCAGGTAGACGGGCTACTTGGGCTGGACTTCATGGAACCAAATGGGTGTATTATCGATCTGAAGACAAAGGAACTGCGGCTCAAGGGAGAGAGAATCAAATGTACGGATGCACGAGGAGTTTCATTTAGCTCCAGAGTATTGATAGGGGCAACTACAAGGGTGCCACCAGGTCATGAGGTTATTGTTCCAGGCTACACGACAGGGCTGCAAGATGGGACAGGTCTAGGTCTCATTGAACCTGCGGAGAGTAGCGAGCTCCTGAACAAAGGCATCATCGTTGCACGGGTAGTTGTAGAAAGGACGGAAACAACCCTCCCTGTTCGAGTCTTCAACCCAGGAAAGAAGGCATGCGTAATTCGCAGAGGTACACTTGCCGGCCATCTAACACCCATCAGCGGGGAGGACATTGAAGAAATTCCAGGCCAACCTTTACCAACAACCGATAATCATACAGTCCCAGACCATCTCGTAGATCTCTTTGAAAGAAGCAAGAGAGGGATAGACAAGGTCTTCCATGACAGAATTGCCAAGCTACTGTGCGAGAACCAAGACATTTTCGCAATTTCGGACTCAGACATTGGAAAGACTGGCCTTGTCAAACATCACATCAATACAGGGGATAGTCTTCCAATCAGACAAAGGCCCCGTAGGTTTCCACCCAAGGAGCAGGAAGAGATTGATCGTCAAATCCAAGACATGCTTGAACATGACAGAATAGAGCCCTCAGACAGCCCTTGGTCATCCAATGTTGTTCTCGTAAAGAAAAAAGACGGGTCAAAAAGGTTTTGCGTGGATTATCGTCGTCTCACTTGACAATCAAGGACAGCTACCCAATACCTCGCATTGATGATTCGCTGGACGCACTTGGAGGTGCAAAATGGTTTTCTACTTTGGACCTTGCCTCAGGATATTGGCAGGTCGAGCTAGATGAAGAAGCCAAAAAGAAATCAGCTTTCGTTGTTCGAGGAGGGCTATACAGCTGGAAAGTGATGCCCTTCGGGCTATGCAACGCCCCATCCACATTTGAGAGGCTGATGGAGCAGGTCCTGTCCGGACTGCATTGGGAAGTACTCTTGGTTTACTTGGACGATGTCATTGTATTCGCCAAAACAATCGACGAAGAACTGACTAGACTGGGGATGGTCTTCCAACGTCTTCGGAAAGCAGGATTGAAGCTCAAAGCAGAGTTTCTTAGGACTGGCCTCGTACTATAGGAGGTTTATTGAAGGATTTGCCAATATCGCCCGGCCACTACATCGGCTAACCGAGAAAGCCCACACCTTCGTATGGACTGAGGAATGTGAAGATGCCTTCCAGGAACTCAAGAAGCGGCTGTACCAATCGCCTATCTTAGCATACCCAGACCCAGAACAGGATTATATCCTGGATACGGATGCTAGTAATGAGGGAATAGGGGCTGTCCTATCTCAAGTGGTAGATGGAAAGGAACGAGTCATATCATATGCTAGCAGAGCTCTGAACAAAGCAGAGAAGAACTATTGCGTTACCAGAAAGGAGTTGCTCGCCGTCGAAGAATTTTTGAAGAAATTCCGACAGTACTTGTATGGGCAGAAGACTACGGTCAGGACGGACCACGGAGCATTGCGATGGCTTCTGAATTTCAAAGATCCGCAAGGGCAGATGGCCCGCTGGCTTCAAGTGATAGCTGAGTATGATATCGAAATCATACACCGAGCTGGTCGCTCGCATGCCAATGCAGATAGTTTGTCAAGACGGCCTTGTCCCCAGTGTAAACGGGATGTTGAGGAGTCTGCAGGCTTCGAAGTCCAAGCAGGACCTGGAAATGGCCGTGCAGAGGTAAATGCGGTTACCCTAGCACCAAGTATCACCAATGCACACCTGAACCAAGAACAAACTGAAGATTCATCAATCAAGTGGATCTTGAACGGCAAACAACAATCAAAAGACAGGCCTGAATGGTCTTCAATGGCATCAAAGTCTAGTGTCGAAAAGTCTAACTGGAGAATGTGGGATCAACTAGCTGTCAAGCAAGGAGTTCTTCACCGAAAGTGGGAATGTGATCAAGGTCAGAAGATCACTTGGCATGTTGTCCTCCCAACCAAACTTCGGTCAGAAGTCGTGAAAGAGTTGCATGGTGGGAAGTCCAGCGGACATCTAGGGATGAACAAAACCATAGCCAAAGTTCGCATGAGATTCTACTGGTACGGAATGGATGCAGACATACGGTCCGTAGTTCGACAATGCAACGTCTGTGCCTCCAAGAAGTTACCAGCTAAGAAACGGAGGGCCCCTTGCAACAAGATACGGTAGGAATGCCGATGGAGCGTGTCGCCATGGACGTAGTTGGACCGCTACCCGAGACGGAGAGAGGGAACAAGTACATTCTGGTTGTAGGGGACTATTTTAGCAAGTGAATGGAGGCCTACCCAATACCAGATCAAACCGCTGTAACGGTTGCAGACAAGTTTGTAAACGAGTTTGTTTGTAGGTTTGGTGTTCCTGAAGTATTGCATTCGGATCAGGGCCGGAATTTCGAGTCTCGCGTCTTTAAGGAAATGTGCGGCATCCTTGGCATTCACAAGACACGCACCACCCCATACAACCCAAAGTCCGATGGACTCATAGAACGGTTTAATGGCACTCTGCTCAACATGATCTCAATGATGATTGAACCCCATAAGCGACAACGAGATTGGGACGAGAAGTTGGCGATCGCAGTGTTTGCCTACCGTAGTGCTCCCCAAGACTCCACAAGGGAGACACCTAATATGCTGATGTTAGGGCGGGAAGTGCATTTGCCAATAGACCTGACCACAGAGGCTCTAGAGGACCCCGAGGAGCATGATATTGAGACAGACTACGCATACACCTTGAGGCAACGCATGCGGGAAGCTCACGAAAGGGCCCGTAAGAACTGCACTGAAAGTGCTAGGCGGCAGAAAAAGGATTATGACTCCAAGGCAGGGGGTGGTCCTTTGGCAGTGGGCGACTTTGTGTGGCTCTACAACAAGGCAAAGACCAAAGGCTTGTCCCCGAAGCTCCAGAGGAGGTGGGAGGGCCCTTACTTGTTAATTCGGCAATTGTCAGATGTTACTTGCCGAATACAGGCGAAGAGAAATGGAAAGATGAAGGTGGTCCATGTTGACAGGTTGAAGCCGTACAAGGGGGAACCTCTTCAATCCTGGTTAGAAGCAAGTGAAAGCAGGGACGCTCACGGAAATGAGCAGGAGGCTCCTTGCCAACTGACACAGCATATGGACATCGAGGACTTGAACAGGGAAGATTCCCAGCCTGTCACACCCCCTGTTCCGGCACCACGAAAAGTTCCGGTCCCACCCCCTAGAAGAAATCCGTCAAGGAAAAGAAACGAGCCTATCCGCTACAGTTATTAATTAGATAGTTAACCCATTGCAACTATATTATCTGTGATGAATGATAATCCAGATGATCTCGATTTTGTGTTAACCTGATGTCCTCTGTGTTGATTCTCTTACAGTAAGCCAGTATGCGACATTCCAGGGGGAACGTGAAGTGCTATTCTTGCGGTCATTACTTCTCCCACAAGATAAGTTTGGAGAGACACATTCAAGAGAGACATCGAAGAAGGGAGGAACACAAATGCAGAGGGTGCGACAAGTCTTTTTTTAGGAAGGACAACCTGACGAGGCACGTACAGAGTCGACACGAGGGGAAGACAACAGAAGACAAGCGGCAAGACGCGCCTGTGGTAAACCCCTGTAGCAGCAGGTGAGCTGAGTATTCATGCTTCGAAGGAAACACTCTCTTCAGAGAACGGGAATGCATCGAGGCCGACCGGTAAAGATCTCAGCATGCTGTTAAAGGAGAGGGAAAGTGAGACCTCGTCGGTATCGTCAGAGTCAGAAGCTGAGGTGGAGGACTGCCCAACCCCAACGTTTCGGAAGATCCAGATGGGAAGGCCAATGCAGGGGTTGGATCTGCGACGCACTCTTCCGGGCACCCCTCTGCAGGTAGAAGAGAGGTCTTCCTCAACACAGTTCTCGGGGGGGGGGGGGGCAAGAAGCTCTGTCAGGAGGAAAAGGTACGAGAGTACAGCGTGGTTTTCCTGCATGGGTGTGAGAAGGAAAGTTCGCCGGCGCCTACAAAGTTGCATCACCTCGCATCGGATCAGTCGCTAGGTTCTCCGATGTCCGTACAGGAGCTGGAAAGGGCCCTGGTCGGCCGGGTTAACAGCATTACTGAAGTCACCACAAGACGATCTTTTTGTGACGGGATTCTGGTAGTGGAGGAAGAGATCAGGACCAATTACAGTATTAACTTGAAGGCTGGAGCAATCTTACCAGAAGTTTAACTCATACATGTATATCAATTCAGCTATCATTAATATTGCAATTACTTGGAAACCTGTTTTCTTGTATGTATTTTATGCTGCAATTGAAGTTCATGGCGGAACTCATTTATATTCCTCTTATAGTGATTAAATTTTCCTTACATGTAACTATTGATGTTGTTGTTGTTTTTAGTTTTTACGGTGCTATCATTGAAAATATGAATATTTACGCCAGAATGAATTCCTATGATCTATTCCACCAAAGATGATAATGCGTGTGTATATATTACTTGTACATAACTCTTACCTCATGTTTAACTGCAGGCTTATTCGAGGATAGTGGTACTGCGTACATACTGATAGTACAGGTTGAAATAGTTTAAATTTGGAAAGGACTTGATCTTTTCCCACTCTTGCTCTTGTACAATTATATGTAATTATTGCTATACGTGAAAGTATTCCAGCGGATTTTTCGGCCTTTAATTGCAAAAATGTATTTATAGATGTTGTTCGCAGGACAGAATGATTAATTGAAATAAATGTATAAAAGTTTTATCTATGTAATTTTGCCTCATTCTTGCCAAAAGCATGTATTAAGACGATTTTGTGTTTTTGGTCAGAGGACTGCCCAGACTTGGGGCGGGGTAGTGTAACGAAATCGTTATTTACATTACCTAGCCTTTAGAGGGCGTTAGTTATTGTAATTGTTTATTGTTATTGTAGATGTCGCTATGGTTACGTCGCGCACTGCGATGCGCGTACGTGGGGTTAATCTTGTGGGCAGTTTGTGTTGAGCTGCGGAAGAAGGAAGTTGTGCCTTAATTTGTTTGGAAGTTCAGATTATTAAAGTTCTTGGAAACATTACTTGATCTGTAAGTGCATATTATTTCCTGTGTTGGTAACTTAATTTAGTTAAGTGATTGTAAGCTGATCTGAGAGTGTCTGTTGCACAATATATTTTTGTGAGAACGTCGAGTACAGAGAAAGAGCGGGTTCTGACTGAAGAAGTGACGCTACCCAGAGAGTGAGAGACCCGTTTTCGTTACAGTATCAAAAAGTACTGGGTTAGACTTGATTCCAGCTAAATTTCTAAAAGATGGTGCGAAGGTTTTATTTAAGCCTCTAAGTTACTTAATGAACCTATTTATCTTGACGAGTACTTTTCCAGAGGATATGAAAATAGCAAAAGTGACTCCACTTTATAAAAAGAAAGATAAAACTGATGTTAGCAACTATAGACCTATTAGTGTTTTAAGCGTAGCATCAAAGATTCTAGTAAGCGGACACTTTTTTTTTGTTTTTTTGGGAGCCCAAAAAAAATCGCAACGACTCAGCCAGCCGAAAAGTCGCTCGGGGGGGGGGGGGGGGGGGGGGGGGGGGGGTAAGAGGACACATTTTTTTTTTTTTTGGTCTCGAAATTTTAAAATTTGACATTTTGCTCCGTTGGGAGGGGGGGGGGGGGGGGGCAAGGTTAGCTTGTTTAGGTCAACCATGGGAATTTAAAAAAAAAAAAAAAAGGGGGGGGGGGTTTAGAGAAATTTAGGGGGGGTTTACACACACAAAATTACCAAAGGGGGGGGGGTTTAACCCCCCCCCCCCCTGTGTACGCGCCTGTGTATTTGTATAAAAGATTTCAAACTATTATTGTACGTAGATGACAGCGTACTACTCTATTCAAATCCTGATCCTAAATATATTGAGGAAAAGCTCAGTGAACAGCTGTCTACGTGTGTCGATTGGATGACTGATAATAAGCTTTCTTTACACTTGGGAAAAACAGAAAGCATTTTATTTTGTTCTAAAAGTAGTTCTAAAAAGTCATTTGAATTCAAAGTGACACACAATAATCAAGCAATCAAGAGAAAAGAGTCTGTGAAGTATTTAGGGAAAGAGTTGGCTAGCGCAATTTCATTTTCATCTTTAGTAGAATCAGTTGTAAAAAAAGCAAATTCTCGTCTGAAATTTTTGTACAGATATCAAAGTTGTATGGATTTAAAAGCAAGACGAACACTCTGTTTTGCTCTTATTCAATGTTTATTTGACTATGCTAACCCTGCATGGTATAGTAACATAAACAAGTCAGATCAAAAGAAGTTGAAGATTATACAGAACAAAATGGTGAGATTTATCAACTGTTCTGGTCCAAGAACTCATGTTGGCTACAGCGAACTTTCTAAAGCTGGTTTTCTTGAAGTCGACCAAAGATCAAAACAACTCGTATTGCATCACGTGCATAAAATATATCATACTAGGTCGAATCATTATATTCGATCCAACTTCGATCTTGTTACTGACGAACATGATTATAATACAAGAAATAGACGATCCAACTTTAACGTACCAGAAAGAGTAGGTAGTATTGGAAATTCGTTTGATTACAATGCCATAAAACATTGGAATTCCCTTCCCAATGGTGTAAAAGAAATAGGAAAACTATGATCATTTTAAGAGGAAATTAAAGGAATACCTAATACTTGACAGTCAGAGAAGAGAAGTGAATGACATATTATATGATTGAAATTTGTATTCTTCTGTCGGTTCATACTTTTTCATGTTGTATATACTTATGTTTTCGTACGTTATAGAAATTCTACAAATTCATCATTATTTTCCTCTTCTTCCTTCTCCTCTTTTTCTTCTTCTCCTTCTTTTTTTTCTTCTTGTACTTAATATCATTTCTATCATCAGTTTAATGTTGTTATTATTATTATTATCTTTAATAAGTAGTTCTTTTAATTTTCTTATCTGTCTGTAAATATTACTATTTTAACTTATTAATTTTATACGTGTCTGTAAGGGACCCCACTGGAAATAAGTTCTCGAGCTTTCGTGGGTTATCCTGTTCAAGCTGACTTATTTTTGATCTGTTATTATTGTATATTGTTGTATGTTGGAAGCTTGTCGAATAAAAATCAATCAATTAAACGGGATCTGATCCGCCTTGAACCCAAGGTTGAACCCATGTGGGCCGACGTGAGCAGCCAATGAAAATAGTAGTACTGATATGCGCGCATAGCTTTCTTGTATGCGCAACCTTAAAAGTATAAATAGGCCGCGCGTATGTTACTGGACCCTCCATTTGAAGCTGATTCCCCACATTGTGACGTCACAGTGATCCGCCTCGAGGGTTGAAGTCGCCTTTCCCCCTGCTGTGTAGTAAACACGATCACATTTGCGCGCTTTAGAGGGTTCAACCCGCCTCGCGGTTTCAACCCGGCTTCAACCCTCGAGGTGGATCACTGTGTAAACACGGTAAATAACACTTGAAGTTACAATAACTGTTATTATTATACCTCACATAAGAAATCCAGCCATCTGATTGGTCGAAATTGGAGTCGTGATTTTAACCATTCCCGTAAAGAAACGAAAAATGCCAATACCAGTTAATAGTCCAATAGTAAGACCCCTCAGAATTCCGGTTACCATGAAAATAGTAACATTTTGCTGCGATACCCATTGGTTAACGTGTTAACATTTCCTTTGTGCGAGCACTGACACCATACAGTGCCTTTTCTGCGATTTCCAAATGATCGAAACTTTCAGTCATTTTTCCAGCAAATATAAACAGACAGTTTCTCAGAACTTCCGTGATGTTTTAACCAATCTTTACTCTATAAAAGGATAAGGTAATAATTCTTGGTAGATTTTTGTTTCAATTCGGGATATAAAAGACATATCGACTGCTTTAATATTCGAGGTCTGGCTGATTTATAGGCCCTCGAGAACTTGCACATCTTGCCATGACCCCTCGGCGCGCCTCTGGGTCATGGCAAGATGTGCGTGCGTCCTCTTGAGCCTATAAAACAGTCAGGCCTCTCGAAGCAGTCGATATCTCTATACAAGCGACTGAAATCATGGTATTTGATTTGCTGAGAGCAAAATTGTCATAGAAAGTTATCATTTGTTACTGATAATAAGTTTAATGAAACAAGGCCAAGACATTATTGTTATAACTAATTGCTTATATTTGGCACGACCTACCCCTCCCCCACGGACACCGATCAGTAAGAACACAGAAAGTAAATACGAATGTAATTAGAGAATACTGTGAAACTATTACGAACCTTTAGGTTCGCAAATGGA